GTGAGGTCCGTTGCGCATCGTTTTTTTCCTTCAGCGACGAAAATGGAAGATGAAAGAAAAAAATCCTTTTTGATCATAAAAAGCATTTTCATGAAATTTTGAGATGACAGTTGGACTCAGTCGATTACATATAACCAGACACTTTCTCCACGTTTTTATGAGGCAAACTTTTTCACATTTCCTCAGAGGTACCTTAGACACGAAAAATCAAAAATTTCTAATTTTCTAAAGTGAGACCGCAGAAATGCTCGGAATCACATTTTATGTATTCTTCAAAAGAACCAGATTAGTACGATAGAGCTAAATTATTGAAAATATGATTATATTCAATACCGATTGTCGATAAGAAATCATTTAAACTTAAATAATCTTTTAGCCACAACTGAAAATGTTCACTGAACGCTCCATTATCCACCGACACAACAAACTTATACAATTTTTTCGTTTTCCGTAATATTAACGATAATACCAAGTATAGATCATCGACACTTTTTAACTGAATATATAAAGATCTCAAATTCTCAAGTATAAATGATAACCGCTTCAACACTTTTACATTGAAATGTTGATCCTCATCATTCATTGTAACAGTTAAACTTGTCAGATTCGAGCAGGTTCCAATGTCAGTCATTTCTAATAGAACATTGTAAGGTACTGATAACGAGATAATATTGGAAGCCGTTACTAATATAACTTTCAAGAAGTTTGACGGATAATACTTGTCATAAAGGTGCAGAAATTCCAAATTTGAAAATAGAACAATTTTTGACAAATCATCAACAATTGTTGTTGTTGTTTTATCTACAGATGTCAAATCGCTATATAATGACAATGACTTAACATCTGAAAATTGTCGAACAATCAACGGCACATGCAAATTATTTAACTTTATAGTTAGTCTATCAGTTTTTGCATACACTTTTTCTAAGGTTAAAGGTGCCGTTGTTGCTGTTTGCATTTTATATAGTTGTATTGTCAAACTACTATGTTTTGATTGGGGTACAGTGTACAGTAGGAATGCATTTGTTTCAGATCGATGTGTATAATCGACAACAATGTACCATCGTCGTTCTAATATCCAAAATGGTGTAGAAAATGATTGTATTATACTATCAATATTAACAACATCTCTAAATATTCCATCTTCGATATATAAACTAAATCGTTCTAACAATGGTAATGATTCATTGATCAACTTCTCCCAACAAATACCATTTGCGTATTCAACTAGCATGCCTGTAAACAATACAAAGTGTTCATAATTACATGCGTTTGTTAAAATGAATTTAGTGTCGTGGAGCCTTAGAGTGTATGAGTGATTCTGATAAAAATAGTACCTTTTTGTGAACAAAGTTGACCCAAACAAAAGGTAAAAATCTAGACTTTTTCTTATCATATATCGATAGTATGTACGTAGGAGTATCACAAAACACGAGCTAGCAAACTACCACTACTTTGTTTTCCAGAATTGGAAAACATTTTTCTATTACCGGAGCCACCGTGCACTTGGTTGCTTTTTGAATCTTTTGATACAAAAGAGCTAAAGAGCTTCAGTTTTCGCCACTCGAAAGAGGAGACTTGGATGCATGTTGCTATTATCAAAATTTTTTTCGGAAGATTTTTCTGAAACAACTTTTCTAGGAGATCTTTGGAAAACTATACCGTCTGCAAAAATATTCCAATAGAATTGTATTGCTTTTTTTTCATGAGCTGATAGCCTGAACTGTCCCCTTCAAAATGGGAGCAAAGTGAGACCATGATTTCCTGCGGCTCGGGATTGTCTCGGATTTCGTACGAGTCCCAGGACTGGCACCCGCTGACTCCTGGGAGCCTTAAGAACAGATGCACTATAAATAATCAACTATGCTGAGTTTCGTGGCAATATTTATTTTAGAAAAGGTTTTAAAAATCTAGCGGAAACCCAGTTTTTCGAAAATTAGGGTTTTCAGGCTGTTTTTCACCTAATATTAAAAAGTTCACTATTCACTCAAAAACAAGCTCAAAACCTCAATATATAATTAACGTTATCCGCTAAACGTGATTATAAGAGCGAAGAAATCGAAAAACACGTTTTTGTTAATAAGTTTTTCAGAAACTCTTTTGGAAAACCTGAGGGTTTTGAAACATTTTTTTCGAGATTTTCTATAAAAGGGATATAGTATAGCTTAAATACTCTACATTCTGAAGTTTTGAACTCGTTCTGATATTTTTTGAGTGAATAGTGAATTTTTTAAAAAGAATTTCAAAACCCTAATTTTCAAAAAGCTAGATTTCCGCTAAATTTTTCAAAATGTGTCTAGAAATAAATATTGCCACGAAACTCCGCACAGTCGATAACCTGTGTTTTCATTCATTCCTGACAGTCCTGACCTTAACGGCACAGGAATCCTGAGACTTCAAGGAAAACGCCCGTAGCTGTAACAACTGCCTGAGATGTCGTTTGGGTCTGGTTTTGTAGAGAACACCTTGGACTATTCATAGATGAGAAAAAACTGATAGATTTCTATGTAAAACTCCGGCGCTATAAGCTGGTTTTCCAGAGATTTACTTAGAAATCCTCCAGAAATCCATGCAAAAATTTTGGTTTCAGCATATTATTACGTATCGTGATCTTGGCTACGTGACGGCGAAAATCCGATCTCGGCAGCCCATTCCATTCTCGAGTTATTCATACCGCAATCACCCACACTATATTTTGAGATGAATAGTAAGTTACTATTTGAAGTTCTTGAGCTGTGGCCTGATTTTTTAAAGATCTATTAAAAAGCCTATGTTCGAAAAAGATTTTTGAAATTTTTTCTGTTAAGAAAAGATGTACTCAAACCTTCTCATCTAATGGTGGTGACTCGAACTCTCTAACTCTTTTTGCTCTCGACTTATTCAAAAAACGATCGAACGAACTGGGTTTTTTCGATAACAATGGAAGAGAAGAAACAGGTTTTGTAGAGAATCTCGTTCTCTAGGAAACCATTTTTTGGTCGGTCTAAACGCTATTCATGTACTTCATTAAATTCAACATGTTTCGAAACCTCTACACTAGAAATTTGGCTTTATTGCCGCGTGGTATATTAAAGTTACAGAAGAAACCGAAAAAAAACGGTTATGGAACATTTCTTCGTATTTTCTAGTTTTCTCCCTTATAAAGCAATCTTAGTCTTTGCAATTTATACAGGACTATTGTGTGAGTAGACAACACTTATGGTAAAAAAGGAAACTTTCTATCAAGCCCGGTTGAGGCGTGGCATAGTAAGTGGTTACGGGACAAAGTGTCTGTCAAACCTCACATAACTTCACTAAAGTGGGAGTTACTTAGTAGTGAAAAGTGATAGAAACGTCGGATTTTCGCTGTTATATATTCTACATATTTAGTCAACTTCTGGCATATAAAGAATGCAA